ACTTCCCCCATCAGTGAAATTTAAAGATACATGCTGTTCAGCCAATTGTGTTCAGATTTCTTTTTTTTTTTCTGAAATTTTTACAAATGGTATACTAGATTCTCTCGTTGCATGCGTAAAGTCATCTTTGTATCTATCTTATGAATCTTAAGCAATGGTATTATGGTGGTAGAACAAAAGTGTCGCTAGATGCCTTTCTTCTACTATTCTACTTACACTCAGCAGGTAATGATGGAACCGTCTGTGTGATCCTGGCATGCTGCTGAGTGGAAGTCACTGGAAGCTGAATAAGAGGCATACACTGCTGTTCTGCAAGATTTTAATTTTCTTAAATGTTGTTCCATGAAAGCTTTTCCATTTTTCCGAATTTTTATTTAAACTTTTAAATTGCACTATAAAGTTCACCATCATTAGATTCTAATTTATTATGTGTATTTTATGTCTGTTTTAAAATGACACAAAATGCTATGTATAGAACATTTTTTTCCTTTTGTGCCTGTATTACTTTTGGCTCCACCAGTGAAAGAGAAGGTATACATTCTGAGCCTAATGCATATGCCTCTTGATATCTATATGCAAGCTTTCAAGGAGGTCCAGATTCTTACAGAGTTACTATGGGCCCAAGAATAAAAAAAAAGAAACTACAAATCTGTTTTTTTCTACAGGCAGAATCTGTTGATTAGAAATAAGATAATAGCAATAAGATTACCACCACACAGAAAGTGTATTAACAGTTTTGCTAAATACTGCATACTAACATATAGGTAGTCATCACTTAACAACAATAATTGGTGCCAGAAAATCCATTGTTAAGTGACATGGTTATAAGCTGAAAAACTACATGACCATGGAACTTAGCAAACCTGATTGTCATTGTTAAATGAAGATCACATGGGTTGTGATCATGACTTCATTTTTTTAAATAATAATTTTATTAAAGACTATAGTTACAACAATAAAAACTAATTCAATCTTGAAAAAAGAAAAAAAAAGAACATGCAGAAAAGAAAAAATAGAAAAATACAAAAGAAAAAATATCAGTGATTTCCCCCATCATCACAAATATAAACAATTTTAATAATTTTTCTCCTTCTCTTAAAATACAAGAAACAATCTCTTCTTCTGATATCATATTTATAAGCAAATCCATAAAGCCTTGTCATTTCTAGTTGCCATATAATGTTAACTAGTTAACTGGTTGCTGTGCAATGTGACTAATATAGACAACCCTTAGGATGTGTCCTTAAAGAGATACATTCCATCTGAAAAATATGTAAGATAATAGGTCAACTTTGCAGCAGACGAATAATATTGATAATATGTGATCAAATAATTTAACAGAGAATTAATTTAATGGGAAACTAGAAATGTATTAGAGGTTATGAAAAACGGAGGACCTGATCACTTTACAATAATTTACAATAGCAAATGTCAGCAAATGTCTGTTAAAGATTACAAACTGTATGTATGTTTAACCTTGATCAAATAAACCAACTTTATATTCCTTCCTTTTATTTATAATAATATTGAAATTAAATCCATTAAAATAATGTCTTAGAACTTGGTTGCTTTTAATTTTTTGCTTCTCCTTCTCACAAAATTCTTTACAAGTCCCCTTTTTAAATCCAATAAAGGAAAATTATGCATGTCACTCTCCTGATTTATTTTTTGAAGCCCTTTTAATTATTAAGACAACAGCCACTGTCTTTTATATGTTCAATAAATAATATCATTTTCTATGTCATTCTTGTAACTTATCATTTGTAAATCTACTTTAAAATTTGTCAAAATCTTGTCATAAAATTTGTTCCTCTTCCATAACATCTTTTTAAATACCATCTACCCGTAGAGACAAATAGTCTTAAAATTAACCTCTGGCTCCACTATTCAGAAATATACTTCAATATTTTCAATATTAAATTATTTTGCCTTTTAAGTTGTGTTTGAGTATCTTTCTCCATTAATTATAATCTTTACTTCTTCTAGTTTCCTCTAGTGTTCAATTTTTAAAGGCTTATCTTATTACTTTTTTATATAAAAAAAACAAAACAAAAGCATTTCCTTATATGAAAGATTCTTTCTAACTAATTCCAAAATTTTATTTCAGATTGATCTGAACTCTTAGTCCATTTGTAACTTTTGAAAATTCAAAGATTAAATCACTTTTAAAATATTTATTAAAAATGTTAAGTCACTAAACTTGTATTTACAACTTATTTTACTAAGGATTGAAGGAAACTCACCTGGTGCTATAAAAATCTGTCTATCCATAAGTTCCTAATAGCCAAAAAGCAGCTAACAAGCATTTTTTGAATTTTATTTAAAAAGGAAGTATGCAAACTCAATGTCCTTTTAAAGACTTCAAGCATATTATGAGCAAAGTGGTTATCCTCTCATTTTCTAGAGCAGGGCTCCCCAACCCCTAGTCCATGGAACTATTGGGCTGTGGCATGCCAGCAACCGGGCTACAAAAACAAGCAAAGCCCCATCTGTGAAATGCAGGCGGCACACAAAACCATGCACCCTCTGGTCCATGGAAAAATCTCTCTTCATGGAACTGGTCCATGATGCCCAAAAGGTTGGGGACCTCTGTTCTAGAGCTCTAAACCCACCGGAGACTGCTGTCCTACACTATCCTTATGTTGAATAGTTGTGCATGATCTCAAGTCCTCTCCTTTTCCGGAGAGGAATTATTATTTTTTAAAACAAATTTTATTGGTTTTTCATTTCTTAGAACAAAGTGCTCGAGACACACCATAGTGCTGGGGCAATCAAACATCCAACAATAAAGCCATATATGAATAACTCAAATCAATGCATTAAATATTTCCTATTTCCCTTAAATAGCATAATATATTTAAAATAATCCATTTCTAAATTAAATTTCTATAAATTCTAAACCTGTTTTTAAGCTTTACAAATTTACAGTTACCATAGTCAAATTTAACCTTAAATAAACACATTATCACTTCAGGTATCCTTTCCAGATATATTCTAGTTCTGATCTCTTAAATCCTTAATTTTATCACAGATCCTGTTTATTTCTTCTTCCACTACACACTATGTATCCCGATTAAAATAAAATATTAGTCTGCCCTATATATATGTAATCCATCCATCAATCAATCTCTTTAACCTAGCAAAGTAATATCAAACCTTAAATCATTTCAGGCCATTAGGCAAAATTCAAACTTCATCCAAGTAATTATCATGCCTAAAAACACCCATATTATCATACAAAAAACATCATCTTACTAATTTAACATGTTCAATTAATTATTGAGTCAATCCAGATCTAAAAGATTTTCTTCATTCCATTACATAGTAGTTTTCATACAAATAAACCTATTATCCTAAAAGTACATTCTTAGTCTATTTAAAATATATATTCTAGTAATCATCCATTTTTCTCTTACTTCTAACTCTAAATCTAAATTCTTAAATCAGTCCATAGTTCTACAGTGCCATTTAATCCATCCCATATAATTTTAAGTTTCTCTTTTCAGTCTTATTCTGGCCTTTTTGTGCCAGGCAGGTTTCCATAACAAAGCTTCCCTTTCAGCCGATAGATCTCCTTCCATTGCTTGCAATATCACTTGAGTCAATAAACAGCATCCTATCCTCTGGATTGGGTATCTATTTCTCTTGTCCTTAAAGTCTCGTTGCTTTAAAGGTTCAAATCTCAGTCCTTGGGTCTTCTAATCCTCAAAGATGTAGATGAAGTGTTTGTAGAGTAAAATAAATTCCTCTTTAATCTCAATTAATTCCTCTTCTGGTGTATTTTGATTTATAGAATGATCAGGTGCAGTCTGAAAGTCAGTTTGAGCATTTGGGGTAATGCTTCTGGCTCTTAATTCTGTAGTAATCTCTTTCATTTTAGCGCATATTTCTTCAGTAGCCTCATAAATCTTTTCCAATATAAGTTTACAGTTTAATTGAGAATGAGGTTTCTCCATTTTAATAGTAATTGAAGAGAGTCCCTTTTTTCTTTTAGTGGAGGCTGTATTTAATAAACGTTAAGCAATATCCACCCCCACAATTCCCACAGCTGCATCAGCTTATCTTTTCTCTTCAAGAGTAGTTTGAAGGTCAAATCCACCTCATCTCCAAACAATAACCAGCAATTGCAATGTTAATTTTTTGCCACTAGATGTCCTCAGTAGATTAAAAAATCCCATTTTTTCCCTTTTTTCTGTCTTTTAAAGAAAAAGGTGGAAAAATAAATAATCTTCCAGTATAAAATAATAGTACGACTCTAAAAAAAGAATTTTTTCTGTACCCCAAAGTAGATAAAAAATAAAATGTGGTCATTAAAATTATTTATTCTATCCCTTTGTTCAATGCCTTTGTTCCCACACAAACAAAAGCTGCTTTTTCAAGATAGGGAAATAATTCCAACAAAGCTTTTACAGGGAAAAAAAGACAAAATAGGGTGAAGAGAGGAGCAGGAGGGGTCTCACCCGGATCATCCACGGTTGGTCTTTAACGCTTAGATGTTCCTGTGACTTTCGGCTGGTGCAGCAGGGTAATCGGCCATCTTACTGGACGATCTTTGCTCCGTTGGCCCTAAGGAGATAGCTGGGGCTGCGGGAAAAGCTGCCACCCTCCCGCAGTCACCAGTAAGCCTCCTCCTTGGTGGTCGCCCCTCCAGGGTGACGTTCGACCCACTAGAGGGTCTGCCAGTGAAGAAAACACGGCTGGTTTGGAGACAAGTCTCCAAACATGACCGGGATCGCAGCAATCCGGAACCGGAAGTCCGGAGAGGAATTATTGAAGTGCCAGACTTCTAGCCATCTCTTTATTCTGCCAAGGTTGCCTAATATTTTTCATCAAGTTATCTTTAGTCTGCCATTTCCTCCCCAGAAATCAAATATGACATGACTTCTGACCTCCTGCTGACTTCCCCATTGACTTTGCTTGTGAGATGCAACCCAAAACAAAAGTAAACTAAATACTTCAACCACTTTCCCTTCTGTTAGCATTTAAAGAAGATGACTTACTCCTTCATATGTCTCAGCTTGGTTGTTGCCATGGTATTATTGAGAGCTCTCAATCTCACAGATCCCAAAGGAGGCACTTCAGTGAAACTTCTAGTTCCTACAAATTAATGCACAATCTAATTCAGCTTGCTATTGTCTGCATTCTGCAGATCCAAAGCATTATGCAAGGGCAAACAAAAAAGTATGCAACAATTCACTTTTTCATCTGGAAATGCTGCAATAATTAAAGGTAATTAGGTTATTAAATGTTTATTAATATAATTTGGTTTAACAGGTCCATGAAACACAACAATTATTTTTAGTGGGATAGTACATCCCCAAACAAAGTTTTATAAAACAGGCTTATATGCATTTCTTATAAATGTATTTATACCTCATTTTCTTTAGCAGATATTTATGGAGTCAAATGGTTTTGTTTGTTGTTATCGTTATTAGCCTACTAATATTTATTCTTCCAATAAATAATACGGTCTTTACCCTGAATATATTCTGATCATTCCAACCAAGAGTCTAGGAATCATGGAGATATTGCCATGGTATGAAGGAAGTTCCAAACAAGATGTTTTTGTCAATTATTATTGAATAATAGCAACAGAGCCCATGCAATAGTTACACAGTTTCACAAAACCATATCAGACAGTGATCAGTGATATACTATTTATTATACTACTGGGCATCTACTTTACAAAAGCTTCCTTGCTATGTCCTGTAAAATTTAAATTTCTTACACATTCCTGAACGGCTGTCAGCCTGTTCTGAACTATCTACCTGATATTATGTAACTCAGGATATAATTCCTATAATTACTCCCTACATATTTAGGAAGTTTTTTCATCTGTCACATTAGAAACCATATTTTGATGGCAACTTCTGGAGAAGAAAGCAAGCTGCATCCAAAGTTTTCATTTTTTAACTTGTAGCTGTAGCCTCAGTTTTATCCCACCTATATAAAAGTAAAACTACCAATCTCATTTTCTTATTAGTTAAAGAGATGCCTATTAATGCTTGAAATCCTTTTGGAAAGACTTCATGATATATAATCAGCCCTACATGAACCTTTCCTCTTCGGAAAAAAAAATCCTGCATAATAGTTACCAATTCAAAAACTATTTCATTTATTTAAAGGGAGAATACAAATGTATCTATATAATTGGCACACATCTCTGTTTAAGTTGTGAATAATAAAATTTTCCTCTCCACTCTCAAGCTTTCATCAGCAAATTGAATGCCAAAAATATTCCTTAATATTTTGAAATTAATTTATTTACATTCACTAAACATACATGATAACAAAAAAGAAGAAAAAGCATTAACATTTGATTGTTCTTTATAACTAAACTGCTTTAGTTATAGCAACTTCAAATGTCTAATACTTCATGAACATTCACATTTATTAATGTTAATGAATAGAAATAATCTAACACCATCTGTGATTACTATTTAATTCCCACAGACATTAAATAAAATATTATCTTTGATTGAATAATTTCTTGAAATTATTTAATCTAATTCAATTATTTATTACTGGAAAAAGATTTACATAAACAGAAACCATAACTTTAATCCTGCATGAACAGAAATGAGTGTTTAATACTAGAAAATATTTAGTCCAGCTTTGGTACCATAGCAATGTAGGACTTAAAATTCTTAAATATAAAGTTAACATGGCTTGTGCCTTGTTCAAGCTGCTGGAGTATATTAAATGTGTACCAAATTAGGAACATACTATTATAAAGGTAAAATATCAACTTGGTGACTTAGTCTGAGTCTTAGCTGGAGTTGATGAGATCTCAAGAAGAGAGAGTTTAGAATTTACAAACCAAGATCTATGAATCACCATGTGGAAAGGTGGAAATAAGGATGCGAATCTGATAAACTAAATTTTATTTTTTCCCCATCTTTAATTTCTTGGCTTATTGCTTCTTCCTATTTCCTGCACTTTGCATAATACTAATTACCTTGAAACAGAATAATATAATGAGTATGTATATAGTTTTATATACAAATTATTTGTTTATATGAGGGATAATATAGGATGTGATTTTTTTTTTGAAAACTAGAGTTTTGATCACATAGAAATGAAAAAGGAAAGATCGCCTATTTGGAACTATAGTTTTTCCAGTGTATTGATGGCTGCTATCAACAAACCAATCAACCAATAGGAATCAACACATAACTATGACTCACAGAATAGCCCAAAGCACATATTTCAGTAGAGAGAAGTTCCCTGACACTGGGCATCAGCATAAGTCTGAAAGTAAAATCTCTGGTCTAAGTAACCGACCCATATTCGATCTTAATTACTTTTTTTAAAAAGTCCCTTGCAGGCATATATTCAAATGCCTTCTTTTAAAACAATAAATGTGAGAGATAAACTGGGCAGACCAAAAGTTAGGATGTTAAATAAGACCTCAGCCATCAACTATAGTTTTTCTTTGTCAATTTTCCCCATTCTCTATTCACCCATTCTCAGCTGATGAGTTATGTTAAACCAAGTTAAACCAAAAATCAACTCCTTTTTCTTAATTCTACCAAAAGTAAAGCAACAAGGGAATCTACAATGTACTAAACTTTTAAGGAATTTTTCTGTTAGGCTGGCTGTTGTGTTCACTTCTGGATCAAGATAAATAACTTCAAGTTTCTCTTACATACAAAAAACATTGGCTCAGCATTTTATACAACAAGCTAAGAATATCCAATTGTTGGTATTGTAATCAAACCTAAGTGTTGAAGAACATGCTATCTCACCTCCAGAATTGGTATCTATGATGTTCTCCATGTATCTGACCATTGCTTCAACATCACTGTCCTGTTAGTCAAAGAAGATAGTCAATTAGTTTTTTCGACAAAAATTCTGAAACTGGGGAACAATGCCATTTATTATTGTATTGTTACAAGTAAGTTACTGAAGATCAGTAATGCAAGTTAAGAAACAAATATTAATATAATCAGAAGCAGCAACTAAAGGCTGTCTAGGACAACTTGCTGCAGCCAACTCGCCATGGCCTACTTGTCATGGGACAACTCATCATAGGACAAGAGTTACACTAATATTGAAGAAATGATGGAATAGAACAATTAAAGAAAGGGTACCAAACTAGGGACAAAATGAAAGGTGAATGACAAAAATTAAAATAAAGTTTTAATTATTTAATTAAATTGAATTGTTGAATTGTCCTGTGGTGAGTTGTCCCACAGTGAGTTGACCATGGTGAGTTGTCCCGTGATGAGTAGCCCATGGCGAGTTGGCTGCGGCAAGTTGTTCCATTCCGGCTCATAGCTGAAAGACATGAGCATAAATAACATAACATAGGCTGAGAAGTAATTATGTAAACAGCTTCTTTAACTATTAAAACATTTTCTAGCAAGCCAAAATTTTGTCAAAATACCAAACTCTGCATATGATACCACTGTGTAAGTTGTGTTACTTCCTTATTTGAATGTCATCCAATAGAAAGTACAAAAAAAGCAGAGTTTTTTCATTTGCCCCTTGCCCCCCCCCAAGGGCGACCATGCTGCTAAGTATTTGTTAATTTGGAAAGACAGGAAGAAAAAGCCTAGACTTTAATCTCAAACCATAGGTATTTAAATTTCTGACATCTTTTAATCAGTTGTTGTATTTCTGCTTTTCTTTTTCTTATTGCAGTAAAGATTCTAATCTAGACAAGTCTGGGAGTCATTTCTTTCTGACTCCCAGTCTCTGGCATTCACTTCCCCATCTCTTCAAGGAACAGAATCCTGAGAAAGAAACTGAAGTTTGCCTTTGAAATAAGGCCAAAAGCCAGTCTACATTAAGTCAGCCTATCATTCTACAATTGTTGGTTGTATTGCCCTGCTTTAGTAGAAGAATGATTTATTTGATTGATTTATTATGTGCCATCAAGTCAGGATAGATTCTTAATGACCACATAGTTAAGTTTAAAACTAAATACAAATTGATTTGTAATTGATTTAATGGAAGAAAGGGAAAGTTTTGTTTAACTTTTCTAGTGAAGTCAACTGAATCTCAAAGAACACAAATTAGGCCAGAGTTTGATATAATATGTTTAAATAATTTGCAATCTTGCTGTATTTAATATTTACTTACCAGTTCATTCAAAATATAAAACATTATGCTGCGCTTTAAAATGTTAAACTAATTGTTAGGGAATGCAACCAAAGGATATGTCAGTTGCCATGGAAAATAAGAATTTATCTGTATCTATATATATCCTTATCTATATCTGTATCTAAATACTTTTTTCTCTTGCAGAGAAAAAAATAAATAATATTCAGTATCTATTTAGTAATTTGGCATCTACTTTGTTTCAGTTCAGTTCAGTTTATTTTATTACTATATAAAATTATATATTGAAAGAATACATATAAATTGTACAAAAATTAAGCTCTTCTACAATGTTGATTTATCTGTAATTGTTTTATGCATGGATTGCTGCTAGACTGAATTTTTGAATGAACATAATTTACTGGGCTTTTTCTCTCCTTTTTCTGCATCTTCATTCAAACATCGATTAGCTCTTGTGACTTCACAGAAAATGGAGAATATATAGGCTGACAAATAATGGTATAGCTAAAATAGACTTCAAAACTGAAATTCAGGTGGTTCTTTATTTCAGAAATACAGAAGCAGATATAGATTTGGGGGGAAATATGAGCAGTGGAAAAGAGTACCATACTTGCATGTTTCACAACAAAAGGAATAAAGAAGGGCTTCAGTATAAAATTATTTAGCAAATAATTTGCAAAACTATTGGATACCAGTAGGTAACTTGTTATCCTATCGAGTCAACGTTTGGACCAAATCAGAAGAGCAATGTCAAGGAATAATAAGAACTGCAATTCAAAATATCAGGAATATTGCACATTCATTAGATTATTCCATGCCCTCTCATTTGCTTCAGGAGTCTCTCCTCTCTCTATTTCCAGTGCTGAGAGAAAGTAATGTATTTGCTCAAAGTTGGGTACTATCAATATAGTAATAAAATCTGATTACATATTTCAGCCCTAATCTAAACATACTTGCAGTAGAAATTCAAAATTTGGATGGAGGAAAGTTGACTGAAGAGAAGTTGGCTTTGGGTTTGTGGTCTAACAACTCCTGAAAAGTACCATTTTTTTACTCTAGTAGAATTCAACTCTAATCTTTAGAGGTGATCTGCAATCTAAGGGCCTTCCTAAATGTTTCTGTTCAATGAACAGATGGCAGCTGTGGCTAGGACTTTTGCACAGACTTTTGACTTATTCATCAAGAGTAGCTTTGGATGCTTTCAGTTTTTAATGTCCTAGTCATCCTTCATTTGGCTTACAACAATGTGCTCTACATGGGGCTGCTCTTGAAGCTACATCTACATCTTGGTGATCATGCTGCATTGCACTTAATGTTGGTTTACTTTTAGATAGGATTCAAGGTGCTGTCACTTATGGCCCCAGTTCTAATAATCTTTCACTTTATGTAAGTTCTTGGTATAAGTGGTTCTTTAACTCAGCTATTCTGAGTGAATATACTTGTGGATATATTCTACATACTGTCTGTGATGCATTCATTTCTTCCTGTTCCTTATCCGCTTCTTCACTTGTTTCTGAGCAGGAATCAAATGTATCATTATAATATTCTTCTGCAGTAAGAGGATCCTCTGGGATCTCTGTAATAAAAGTAGATTTAATTTGTGAATGACAATAAATTTTAATGCAGATGGTTCTCAATTTACAACTGCAATAGGGACAGACAATTCATTGTTAAGAGGTGCAGTTATTAAGTGAGACATCATGTAATTGTGACTTGAATCTTCCATGCAGGCTTCCTCACTTTGCTTGTTGAAAGCCAGTTGGTGATCATATAACTATGAAGTGCTCTGACTGTTGAAAGTGTGAGGACAAGTCGTAAGTTACTTTTTTTCAGTAGCATCGTAACTTTGAACAGTTGTTACTGTAAATGATTGTAAATCAAGGATTTGACTTTTGAATGTAGGTGTAGGATTTGTGTAGTTCTTTACAAATGATTGCAGTCAATTATAGCTTTAGCAAAAAGTATTTCAGCTCCCAAAGTCAAGGCATGAATTTCTCCTTATTCCCTCTATTCATTGTTTCCAACCCCCATATAAACATGTTCTTGAAGGTAGCATTTAACATTTAGCATGACAAGCTGTAGAGCTAAAGGGAAACCAGCTATTCCAGTTTATGTTTAACATTGAATTCAGACCCAAAAGTCTACTACATTCAGTTCTTAAAAACTGACAAATGAATTCAAGATACACATGCAAAATATATCATATTTATCTGGTAGAAATATAACCTTGATCTTAATATGAATCCCTTCACAAAGAAAGATTAGATAGAAATAGTTGACAGGGCACTGGAGGAACATGTGCCTGGGCAAATCTAAAAGAATTTTCCTATTTTGAAGGTAAATTATTAGAGCTAAATAAATGTTGTCTATTAAATATAATATAATGTATTGATATTAATATATTAAATAATATATATTGGCAAATATATTGGCAAATGAATAGAATTTATTTAGATTTTAGTGATTATGATCAGTCAACATCCCTGAAAATATTTGTTTCTGAGGGTTACCATGCAACCAGCTTGAAATTATTTGCTCTTCTAAAAACAGTTTATGGAGAATATATCCTATAGTGCTTGCATTCATTCTTTATTCTTAGGCATATTTCTGCATTTAATAAAAACTGACATATACAACATATAACCCAAGACAACAATGGATTGCTCAGTTAAACCAAGTATTTCATTTCATGAACTACGATCACTGGACACATCACTATTTAAGGCATACAAGGCAAAATGAAAAAAATATAATACTGTGTTGAAGCAAAAACATAGCTTTAGAACTAGACCTGGTAGCTGCATACATGGGTTGCTATTGAAAACTCATGGTTGCAGATGTAAACTAGACTTCATTTCCTACATATCTCTTACTTTGTTTTGACCTAACAACAACTGAATATAACTCTCAATTTCAATTTTTTTGTTAAGTAATGCTTTTTTGAACCACTTTCGGAAATGTTAATTTTCCAAATGTTACAGCAAGCTTGTTGCTGCTCACTATAGATCTGTAGGACTATCATTACATTTCCAATTAGTCTTCTTCTTCTTGTGCCATATCCGTTATCGGACGTTGGCGATCATGTTGGCGATCCTGTTTTTATCAGCAGCCGCACGAAAAAGTGCTGCTGAGTTTTGTAGTAAAAGCCTATTATAATATGAAAAAACTATTTGGATGCCATTTGCTAGGAACCCACTCAAATCTATAGTTTGGCTGGGGCTGGAACAGAAATGGTACGACCAAGTCAGAATTTCTTAAAATTAGCAGGATTTGCAGAGGAAGAAATGACAGACTGAAGACAGCTTGGCGAAAACCAGAGCCAGTGACCATGGTGAAATGCAGAACTGGTGAGTAGACCAGCTGTTCCTCCTAAGGAGAATGCAAGATAGAAGTCTCCAGTGATTTTAGAGCTTTGGGAGAGGAGAGAATAGCCATCTTACTCTAACAGAAATCAGTGCCTTTGAAAAGATGCTAAGTTCACATACTTCCTTTTCTAATCACTTTCAGAAATTGCTTGTTAGCTGCATTTCAGCTGTTAGAAACCATTCTGTTGATAGATTTGCAGTACCGGGTGAATTTCCTTTCATCCTTAACAAAATAAATTTCAGATACAAGTTTAAGAAAAAAACATTTTCTTTGCAATAAACAGCAAAAGGGTGATTAAAACTTTGATTTCATAAAGTTACAAATAAACTAAGGATCCAGATAATCTTGGAATTAATTATAAAGACTCCTTCTGTGTTTTGTTTTGATATTTTTGAACAAAAACATAATTAAGAATTTAAAAATTCGATATTAAGGGCTATGAAAGATTACAATTAAAGAAAACACATAAACTTGACATACAGTTACAGAATGAAGCACAATATACTAACAAGGAAATATTGAAAAGTGGACTGAGAAATTAATATTAATAGTGTCAAGAGAGAGAGATTTGCATCACTGGCGAAACTGTATCTAAAAGATGTTATTGAAAGTGTTACCTGACAAAATTAAGAATGAGTTTAAAGTAGATTTACAAATGACAGACTACAAGAATAATAAGAAAAAGATGTTACAATGGATGTACAAAAGAAACCAGTTGATGCCTTAATAATTAAAAAAGGATGTACAAATAACAAACCAAGAAAGTGACCTGGATAATTTTTCTATATTGGATTTACAAAAGAGGTTTATTAAAGCTTTGAAAAATTCTTGAGAAGGGATAAAGAAGAAATGAAAATTATATTGTAGTATCTGGTAATAAACTTTTCTGCGACATCAGGACTGAAAACATTATGCTTTATGGATTTGTCTTCAAATAAAAGAGGAGATACAGTCTGAAGAGCTCTGAGATAACTGACTGTAAATTAAAAGGGGGTAAAGTGTTATAAAAATGTTTATACTTCTGATTAAATTTGGAAGTCACTCTTTCATATATTTCTTTTCTCTCTCCTTATTATATTTTTTCTTTTTTCTATTTTCTGCTTTTCATTCTTTCTATTTTTTTCTTTTTTTAATTTTCACTAGATTTTACTATGGTAATTAAAATATTTAGCAAAAATTATAAAATCATCATCATCATCATCATGTTATTCTCATTTACAAAAATCAAGTAGATATGTATAAAGCATAATATGAATATTGAGTTTTAGATATTTTTAATAAGCCTTTTGCTACAAATGAAACTGCAGAAAACAATAACATGCAACATGGTCAAATTTGTACTTGGGAAATTATCAGCTTCTTTGTTTAGATCTGAATTTCTTTTATAACTATTACAATGTTATTTTAATGAGGTAAATCGTTTCTCCGTTCCTAGAGTTCTTATTGCATGAATGCAGTATTCCAACTTTTGTATGCTGTTATGAATACTGAGGAAGTTTATTTTTAATACAATGAAATAAGGTGAACACATAAAAAAGGAAAATTGCGCTCAAAATTTATAATTTTATAATGAAAAAATGTAATTAAAATATTTTTCTTACCATGTACCAATTTTATTTTGGAAACAAAGATTTTAGAAAGAATGTTAGTGAAAACAAATTATGTACCTTTTCTCACACAAACATGTATGAATTATCTATAATTTATTTAGTGTCTCTAAAATTTCTCTAATTAATCTTCATTTAGAATTCATGACAGATGAACTCAATTTTCTTTAGTTGAATGTTTAAAATCTAGCTTCAAATCTAGTTCAGTATTTAAAAAATATAAATTTTGGTTGTGATTGTGCAAAAATGCTTATTTTTCCTATTAGTTCTCTCCGTGGCAAAATATATTGTCATTGTTATTAGAGATAAACTGGATAAACTGGTAAAACCAAGACAACACACTGTATACCAGGCACTAAGGTTTATTGTAAAACATCAATAAAACTTTTACAAAAAAAAATACATCCCAACATTAAGAGAAAAAAAAAAACTGGCTTCAAGCCTCTGATACTAAAGCATATACTGTGACAGTAGTGTTGGACTACTGCTTTGTGCATAGATTTATATGAAAATGTTTTGAAAAATACTGCTGTGAAAAAGATGTTATTTCAGAAAAAGGCCACTGGACTGAACTACTGAAGTTTAAGAAGAAACCTATATTTCCATTAGTCTCTGTCAGAAGATAAGCACAATCAGTTAGCAAAAAGTTTTAAAGAATGTATTGCAATATTGTAAGGAATACAGTATTTTCAAAAACTTTTTAGTTTTTCTTTTTTTAATCAAAGATAAAACCTTAAAGCTATTCTATGATGGGCTGCATTACTTGACCAAATACCCCTTAACAGAATATTGAGCACTGTGCATAAAGTGGATACATAGGTCATAGAAGAATTTAAAAACTGCAGTCTGATTTCTGTACCATTAAAACCCTATGGACTTTTTGATTTTGAGAAATAAAAATTGTCTAGAATTTCTCTAAAGGCATACTGTTATGCTTATGTATTCAAAAGTAGCTAAAGTGTGTTTATTAGAGTTTATTCCTAGGCAGTCCAGGCACTTATTCTCATAATCCAGATCTACTTTTAGGCCATCTCTATTTTAAAAAAAACTCATTGGCAAACTAGTTAATACAGGATATGGATTAAACTTAATTTCAACACTTGATTACACGTACATTATATGATTAAATTATAAACAGATTATATCTAATCTACATAATTAGTTATAATTACATTTCACAGGAAAATAAGGTAATCCCTAATTGTTGAATTCTAATCTAAAAATTAGATTATTAATAGAAAATAATATATGCAACTATTGTAATATACTTCGTAATTTTGGAATTCTTATAAACTTGAAGAATTGACAGAAATAATATACTGCAATATATTTATTAGTATAGTAAATTTTGACTGTAAAGTATATCACAATAACCAACCAAGAAAGTAAAATTATGAATTTAGAGAGTTTAGTGACTGACAAAATTAAGAAATTAAAAGCTTGGGGGAAAAAATGAAAACATTGGCCTGGCAGAACTCTAAAGAAAAAATATAAAAGGAAACAAGGACAAGTATGAATTGTTGAAATAATGGATGGAACAATGTGCCGAAGTCCAGTCCCAGAAGCAACTGTATATATTTCAAATGGTGACCTGCTATGAATC